CTCCCCCCCCACCCCCACCTCACACAGCACTTCCTATATGCTCCTCTGCCTCTTTGTCCCCCCACCAGAGATGAGCTCTGAGCTCCCTTTTTATGCAAAGCACTGCACTGGGTGCCAAACTGACCCAGTCCCCACACTTGAGAAATTACCATCCCGACGCCTCTTTTTGGCTCTGCAGCTTCATGAGTAGTGACTCCGGCAAGGAGTAAAGAATTTCCTGGGCTCTGCATCTGGGCACTGTGGAAGCAGAGGAAGGGAGCAGGGACACGCTCCTGCCTAGTCGAGGTGCCAGTGGTCCTTGCCACTGGTACAGTCTCTCCTCTCTGCCAGGCCTTTGTACGCTGTTCCTTCTTCCTGGAGCAGCCATTCCCTGCTCTGCACCTGGTAAACTTCTACCACTTACCCATCACCTCCTTCGGGAAGCCTTCCCTGGTTCTCCTACCTGATCTCAATATCCCCTCCCTGAGCTCCCATGGCTCAATGCTGACCTACCTTAGCAGTGTCTTACCCCTCAGGTTTATAACTGGTATTTCACTTACCTGGCTCCCCAACCAGTCTGGGAGTCCCCAGGGTGTGACAAGCTCTGGCTGTCTCTCCCAGGTGATAAAGAACCGGATCCATTCATTCCGGGCCTACGGCATTGCAGTGCGGGGCCGCGCCAAGGCCCTGGTGCAGGAGAACATCATCTTCCAGGGCAAGACCAGCAAGACGATCTTTCAGCAGATCTCAAACAACCGAGAATGTATCATGCAAAACAACAAGTTCTTGGTGTTCAAGAAAAAGTAAGTGTCTGGGATCTGCCTAAACCAATCTTCTAGAACCACAGGGAGGCGACTAGAGAAGCCAGGCCCAGTGATGCTGGCTGTCCTTGCTCCCTGCAGTCCTGCCAGCTTCTGGCTCTGGTCAGATAAAGGCCCGTGCTTGGACATTAGGCCGGTGCTGAGGACCTGCGTCTGCCTTCTTGGGAGAGAACAGGCTTTAAGAGTCAGGGAGGTGTGATTTTAAATCTCAGCTCTGCCAGTTTCTTGCGCAAGGCACTCAACACCTTGAGTCTTAGTAAAATCCAGTTAACAACGTCTGCTTTGTAGCACTAATTTAAGATACAGTCAAATCATGCGACCTAGCACAAGATCTGAGGTATTACAAAGACGTTCATTGCTGCTGCTGTCACTTATTTATGATACCTCTGCCTCTGTGTACAACTGCTTCACACTTATCTTCCCTGAACCTCCCTGCTCCCCATTTCAGTGACCTCACGCTCTCATCTATTCTGGCAGCAAAACCTCTGTGACCGATTTCTCCCTAACATCAGAGTTCAGTCAGTCATTACTAGGTCCTCTTGATTCCGCTTCTGAAATGTGCCTGTATCTGGCACCTTTTCTCCCCAACTGCCATCACCCCTGCTCACATCTCAGCACCCTTCACCCTGACCTCTGGCCCCTGTTGCCAAGGTGCTGTTCTGCTGGTGAACGGATGGACTCTGTTCTGCTTGGTTGGTGCTTTGCTACACTGGTTATACAGGTAATAACTGTTATACCACCGCTGCCACATTCCTCTCGCACTGGTGACAGCCCTGGCTGTCAGATGCATCCGTCTAAATCGGCTCTGCTCATGTCACAGCCCTGGTCAGAAACCTTTGATGGGTCCCCTTTTCCTGTAGTAATGATCTCTATTCCTTTTTTAATTCTACACACGCTCAGCAAAAATATTGAGGAAACCTCATATATGTTTTATACAGTCATAACTTATAAAAAAAAAAAGTAGGAATTCTAATCTTTTCTGGACAGAAAAGCAGATATGATCCCAGCAGATCATATCGTGGACTCCCTGGGGTCTGCTTCCTCCTGTCCCTTTGGAGACCCCAGGATACAGATAGCACAGACCTGGCAGCCTGCATCATCCACTATGCACTGTTGAGTCCTGATTTTCCTGTCCAAGCTTGCTATCTGCTGCCAGACTCAAATGCTGGCAATTCTTTGAACACAGTAGCTAGTTCCTCACCATCCACACCTTTACAGTCCTACTCATTGTTACAGAATCACCATAAAAATGCATAGAATATATGGTTACTGGCTTAAGCAACTTAGGATTTGGGGTAAGAGGTGGTCCCTTGTAACTCAAATGACAGAAAGCCCCGACCAAAGCTTTCCCTGACCCTTCAAAATCTCTGTAAGGGCCTGAGGGACTGGAAACCTACCCATTCCTGTCCCCTATAGCAGTTTCCAAAATGTCATTTAAGGAAATCGCACGGTATGTAGTCTTTGGAGCCTGGCTGCTCTCACTTAGCCTAATGCACCTGAGATTTGTCCATGGTGTCACATGTTGTTCATTCTTTTTGTTGCCAAGTGGCGTTCCATTGTATGGATGGACCACACTGTTTATCCATTTGTCAGCTGAAGGGTATGTAGTTCCTAATTTTAGGTGATTATGACTAAAGCTTCTGTATACACACAGGTCATACACCTAGGAGGGAAATAGAAAAAGTCACCGACCTTCTCCAGAGCCTTATAGAGATGGGGAAGTTGAGGCTTACTTGTCCAAGGTTACACGCAGAGCTGGAACTAGAATGCAGGACTTTTGCCCCCTAGCTTCCCACACATCCCACCTCCTTGAGCTATCACTGATTTGGAGGCAGAACCGACACCCAGATTTTGAACACCTGGATCTCGAGCCTAAGGTGAGATGGTGTGGGGCATTCAGCAAATGCTCCAGACTCTCCCAGTTCACGGACTGTCATTTTGCACCTCTAGGTCTGATACGTGGCGCCTGGTGAACCCACCAGCACGGCCTCACCTTGAAAGTTCTCTCCGAGGCCCCTCTACAGCCCACAGTGGACAGAAGGTGACAGCCATGGCGACCAGGATCACTGCCCGCGTGGAAGGTGGTTACCACAGCAATCGTAGCGTCTTCTGCACCATTCTGTAAGGAAGGGGAGCCGCGGTGTGGGGCGGCTGAGGGCGGTGCAAAGACTCCAGGAGCAACAACCCCCATACCCAAGCTCAGGCTCGGGCTCTGATGGGTGTTCAGCCGAGCTAGGAGGTCAAGGCAGCATCGAGATGAAAGCAGCAGCAGCAGCTGAGGGGCTCCGGGCCTCTCTCAGTCCTCCTACTCACTGCACCCTGGAGAAAACAGGCTTCCGGGCTTCCTAGGGACTAAGAAAAGAAACAGATTGGTGGGTTTCCTGTCACTCAAGCTCTTATAGAAGTTATGAAGAGTTGGGGAAAAACGATACTAAAGCTTTGGTCAGGTCTCTCTGAATGACAGGGAAGTGTTGTTTTACACACACCAAACCCAGACTCTTGTCAGGGAAGAGCATTTACTCCTGAGTGAGGAGGTGATTCTAGTAAGGTGGAAGGAGATAGCTGCCCCAGAATTTTCCCCTTTCCTGGACCTCTCTCGATCCCTACAAGCACATGGCCACATGCTCCTGGCTATCTGCAGAGGCTGGAGGAGTTGAGCTTGGTTCCCTTCAACTTGAACATGAACTGTGAGGGGGACAGGGAGCCCTCTGGAAAGGCTGCCCTACGATGACAAGGGACTTGCTGAAAAGAGGAAGGCCGTGTGGAGAAGTCCTCCTTTCAGCGGCCCAGGTGCCCGGCTGGGTGGGGCAGGGATGCACGAGACCCCACTCTGCCCTCAGGGAGCTCCCAAACTCAGGAGGATACTGGCTCGAGGCCCTGCGTGTACCCACACCAGCCGCCCTCCTGGGCACCGGACTGGTGGAGATGGAGGTGCCCAGGGCCCCTTGTCTGTGTCCATGTTCTCTCATGGATGACTGCCTGCCTTTACTGACCCTACCACGGTTCCCCACTCTGTGCCTTGGCTCATGCTCTGTCCTCTTCTTGGCATGCCCTTCTCACCATCTGCACTTGTCCACACCCCACCTAGTCTTCGGGGGTTTAGCTGAGACACTGCCTTCTCCGCAGAGCTCCCCTCCCTGCAGTGACAGCGCCTTCCGCCCTTCCCGCTCTGAGGCTCCACCGCCCTTTCTCTGCCCCCTCTCAGGTATGGAGCACTTTCTGCCTTGCTTTGGAGTTTTCTAGGCCCCTGCCTGTGAGCTCCCTGAGGGCAGGACCTGGCCTCAGTCTGTTCCCAGTTCCCAACCCAGGGTTGCCGTGGGGTCAGTAGCCTGAGGGAGGGGAGGAACGGCCTCCTAAAGGGCTTTACTGAACTGTACTGTGAACGTGTCAAGGTCCCAGAGCCAGGTGGGCTCAGATCCCACCTGCTTGAGGACGGGGGCTGAATGCAGCACTGAGCAGCTCAGCCTGGACAACCCCCTCCCACTCGGCCTTTCATGTGGGGCCTTCGCCAGCCTATAGGGGGTGCTGTGGTACACTTTGCCACTCGCTTCCCAGGCTGGTTCCACCGGGCCCTCGGTGCTGCTCACCTGGGTGGGGTGGCGGGGTAGCTGGAGATGGTAGTAGCTGGCTTCTCCCCGAGGACTTTGGGCACAAGACACGGGCCCCTCCTGTCCCCAGCACTGTCCTTTGCACTTCTCTGGTGGCCCCAATGTGAGTCGCTGTACAAAATGCTGCCTTTATTATTTTGTAATGACTTTTCTGTGAACCAAATGCTTATGAAAATCTCTGCAACCAAAATAAAGTTTTATATTTTAAAAGAAGCCCTTTCGGGGGACTTGCCTCGGTCTGGGTACATGCTAGGGTTCCTGGGCAGCTGGATGCAGTTCCCTGCTTCACCTTCCTGAGGCACTGCTGTTTCTTCCGCTGAAAGAGACAGATGCTCTGAATGTCCTGTCCATTCAGCAGGTTCCGATTCCGGGCTCCAGGGTCTGGGTTCCCATGTGTTGGGGGTTATACTGTGGCCCTCCCCACCCCGTGGGCTGTGGAGATCAGCAATAACAGTACCCGGTGTAGCAGACTGGACAGTTTGCAAACGGTTTTGAGATCAGGAACCACATTTTCCCAGCTTCAGCATCTTCGTTTTTGCCGTATCTGCATGCCACCTAAGGAGAAAGTTAATACTTAATATTTTTCCTTAAATTAATACTTTATTTTATAGAAGAGTGTTAGATTTACAGCACAATAAGCTGTAAATCTTAGTACATACATAGTACAGTGTTCCCATATCCCCCACCCCCACCCCGAGTCTCCCCCTTACTAATGTCTTACAGTAGGGTGGTACATTTGTCACAATCAACCAATACTACCTCACTGTTAGTAACTGAAGTCTGTAGTTGTTATCCAGTATTCTTTTTCCATTCCAGGACCCTATCCAGGACATTTACCTTTGCTGAACTAAAAAGACATATTTACATCACTACTATAAATCCGAAGTTAGGGTTTTCTAATACACATCGAAACTATTAAAATGAAAATATTCGTGATACCACAAGCAAATAAGCCTTTGTTGAAATGATACATTTGGGGAGAATTGTTACTGCACTTTATCCTGGCCAGCAGAACCTCATGTATTTTGATACGCTAAAATTGTGTTCCATCCATAGTATGCTGAATACTCGGTGAGGTCGTTGCCCTATTTTTCACAGAAGGAATTGAGGCTCTGGCCTGTAAAGGTCCAGCAGGTGAAAGTTCACTGTCAAATGTTAAGAGCTTGTAGGCAGGAGAGGGGTAGATAGGGCTGTTGCATAAAGCTTTGGCAGAAAAAGGAACAGTGGAGACACGCACACACACAGTGCCCATCTCCGCCAAGTCACTTGGAGGTGAGACACCCATCCGTGCCCTCCTATGGCTGGAGTAGAGTGAGGAGGGCGCTGCCCTGCAGGGCCTGCACACCATGGTTGAGTGGGCAGGGCTTGCTGTCCTACACAGCTGGCCAGACCCGCCCAAGAGAACCCATTCTGATTATTTGGCCTTAAGTAAGCCAAAATCTTATCTCGCTGGCTAAATCCTACCCATACTTCAGGATCCTACTTCATTATCACTTCACAGAACACCGATCCCTTCAATCTCCCTTAAGTCCTTCCCCAACCCTTGCTCTCATGCCCATGCCCCAGCCCCACCCCAGGTTATTCTCATGGTGGCACTGAATCTTCTGTATTGAAAAACTCTGTTGATTTGTCTGATCCCCTACCCCATGCTCTGTGAAGTCATGCCCAATTGATCCTCTATGTCCAACGTAGACCAACACTCAGTGTTGGATGCAGGGGTAGATGGATGGGTAAATGGATGAAGAAATAAACCCAGCACCACTCCTAGCATCTCTACCTTCTAGAGCCCCCAAAGGGCATCTCTTCCCTGACAACTCTCCAGAGATTTACAGACAACATCCTTATGCCTCTGGGGTCTGCCCTGCTCTTGGCCACCTCTCATACATGCCACTTTGCAGACTGTTCTCCCCCTCCTGGTCATTTCTCGAGACCCACTCCAGTAGTCTGGGTGTGTCTGGGAGAGCCCAAAGGCAGCATGTAAGAATCCTATCCTGCATCTCAGGAGGTATGTCCCAGCTCTGTGCATAGCAATTAGATCTGAAGATAGGATTCTCTAAGGTCACTGTGTTTCCCTGGATCATTTGCTTTCAGCCTGCAGTAGCTAAGGGCCCCCTTCACTGAGTTGTCACTGGTGAAGGCTTAACCCTGGTACAGAGTGCAACAGGTCAGCTGCCCCCATCAGGTCAACAGCTTATACTGTGGCCTCCCTGGGCTTTCCTGCTGGCCAGCCAGGCCCAAACATTGATGCCTTCTGATAGGAGTGTGCAAACACAACAAAGACCAACACAGCTTCACCCAGGTCTCCAAATCCTGTTGAGGCCACTGCCTTGATGTCCAAAGGAGATCCTGAGTACAGGGAATGGTAGACATAGTACGGCCAGACCAGACAAGAGCTAGCTGTGTCTTAGAACAGCAATAACCCTACACGGTCCTCAGCAGCCCTGGGCCCACCTTGCCACTCCTTCCTTCCGACAGCACAAAGAAAGTCTCCTCTCCAAAGTCTTCTCTCCCATGAGGCCTGATGGGCTTGTTCCAACACTAAGCAGTTTCTTCCTATTTGAACATGCTCATCCCATTAGCTCTTTCTCCCTTCCTGTCCTGAGCTTTGTACAGTGCATTTATGACCATGGGGCTCCAGAACCCCTCCACCGTGATTAGCATTCTTTTTAAATGAAGTCAAGCCTAGCTATGGCCCTGCTAGTACAGAGAAACTCACAACTGTCAACATCTTCTTGAAACATTGTTCTTGCCTGAGTGCAGCTAAAGATCCTAATTGTCAGGATGGTGTCTCACTTCTTGGTTTTGGCCCACTATTAATGCCCTCTGTTTGGGCTCCTTGGGTAAAAAGCTGATTCCAGGGCTAGAGCAGGGAAAGTACAAGATGGCTGGACTATCTTGGTCCAGAAAGGAAGCAACCATCCTTAAAATGATGGGGATACAGGAGCTAGTTCGAAGAAACCCGAATTGGCCAAATGTGGTACAATCTGAGCCTCAAAATAAAGGATAGTAACAACGTTCATAGAATAAGAATCGGCGTGTCTATCCTGATAACTAAGTGAACAAAAACATTTTAACAGGAGGGAAAAGAGGGCTTCCTCTGTGTAAGAAACGAATGATAGGGTTAGAAAATCACCATACTGCAACCATCTTGGTAACTTATTCAACAAGAATCAACTAGGGCTAAAACTCATGGTGCCTTCATGATGGAGAGAACACAACCTAATCAAATAATGAAAGTTAACATCACAAGTACAGGACAAACATCATGTGCCTCTACTGTGATGCACTTAGAACACAGCACCATGTCTGATTTTCCTGCCCAAAATGTATATCCAGAATCTAAACCCAAGGAAACACCAGACAAACCCAACTTGAGGGACACCCCACACAATAAATGACCTTACTCTTGATTCAGATAGATTAAACAAAACCAAAGAAGTGTGGTGGGCAAAATTTGAATATGAACTGAGGACTAGTTGCTAGTATTGTTTCTGTCTCCCCACTATTGATGAATGTG